CTTTCGAAGATCAACAACAAAAACTACAATTTCGTATGGCACTGGATAATAATAAAACTACGAGGCGATTTCATTTACATATCCCAATTCCAATTAAGTAACACAATTTCTCTTTTTACTTTTCTACAACAGAATTTTCTTCAGAATGAAATTTCGAGCAATAAAATTTCAATAAATATATCCAGAGAGGGAGTGAATTTTACTTATCATTAATCGTAGTAAATAAATGAAGGAAGACGATCATCTCGAACGATGATCCCGTCGTCAGAGCTTGCTTTCCCGATGCTCCGCCTCGTTCGAGGCAGTTACCGTGGAACGTGGCCCGGCAACAGATCCGAAAGGTGAATCTCGGTCGCTGAAAGTCAGGATTACATCGAGCGGAATGAGCAACGTGAAGGGGAAACAGCGGCGATCGAGATAAACGGAGGATTCTATCGGGTGTCCGTGCATAAAGTGGCGCTCGAGTCTCTAAACTTTTAACGCGTTCGACAACCGCGCTTTCTTTTTTTTCCTCCGTCGGTTTCCTCCTCTCTTTCAACCAGTTTCGTTCATCAATAACGGACGATTCCTCGTTTCGATACGTTCGATACGTGGAAAATAATCGTTTCTCGGTATTTTCCCCTATTTTCGAATCTCGAATGGCTGTGATCGGGGTGCATACGCGGTGCTCGTCGAGAGAAGCGAGAGAAAGGATGGATAAAGGATGGAAGGATGGATAAAGTAGACGGTCTGTTTACAAATAGTAGATCGTATATTTACATTACTTAGCGCAAACATATAAAAAAAAAGTGCAGTCGTACACGCATTATGCTCAACGAATAATAACATAAATCGATCGTTCACCATATGCACGAGACGTACACGTAAAATAATAAATTAATCCGTTTAAAAAAAAAAAAAGAAGAAGAAGAAGATGAAGGAGAAGAAGGAAGGAAGGAAGGAAGGAGAGAGGGATGAAAGAGGAGGAAGAGGGGGTGGATAGAGGGGGGTGTGCGAGTTGACGTGTTTTATGGCTTGGCAGCATCGTCACTGCGTATTTCTTAACAATGAGCATCTCTCTTAAGCTTATATACGCTCTACTTATTTTACGTATCTGCAATACACCAAGTTATGCATAACCATTTGCCAGGCTAGCTGCGCTATAAAAGTGGAAGAGGGGTTCAAGATTACTCCGAAATACGGAATACCTATACGTATACACGCAGCCGGGTTTTAAACTCGCGTCGATGAGCGCACATGCGAACGTTTTATTATATCTATATGTATATATATATATATATATATATATATCTCTGACCAGTTATTACATTTCTGTGCGCGTGCAACTGCTTATCAACGTGTCGGTCGGCTGGATTTTACTCTCTTCGTATCTTTGGATACTACTACATTATACGCCGTTTATCTCGCCGTTTTAAAGATTGTGGAAAGTCTTTTCGTATTTTGGACCCAATTTAATTAAAAAAAACCAATCGATCGAGCGTTAAATATTTTTTCTTCCCGCGTTCATTTTCGCGCGACACAGGAACGAAAACACTTTCCAACTATACTATATACTATAACGTTAAACGAGGATTGTTTCGTGGGTAAAAAAAACGAATTCTAAGGTGAAAGGTTCTACTTAAGAGCGTAACTGAACTGTTTCTATCAAAAGAATTAACGATATCTCGCTCTAAAAGATATAACTCATAACACGGTAAGCCGAGTAACGATGTCTCTACTTTTACTCGCCGGTTACCACGCCTCGAGGCTTTCTAGAAAAGGAAAGGAAAGGAAGGGAGGAAGGGGGGCGGGGGGGAAAGGAGAAAAACTCATCATCCCCCGGCGTGTCTCATCGTGAAACAACGGACTAGATATACGCGTGTCTCCCTGTGTCATTGTCGCAAAGGTATGCAAAACCTGTGTGCATCGGCCGGAGAGCGGAGTGTGCGCGTTTCACTCGCGAAACGAGATCCCCGCGAAAGGTGGGCATCGTTATCGCGAAGCTGGTTCGACCAGCGAGCGCTTCTCTCTGAACTTTCACCTCGATGAAGATTAAAGACGTGGAAGAAGAGCGCGCTGCTCTCGACGATGAAACTTTCCTCGATCTTTTTCTTTTCTTCTTGTTCCTCGAACGGCCGAACACGATCAGTGAAGAAACCAAAAAAGATTGTTGCGAAACGGGCCGTGTCGTTTGTCGCCGATGAGTTCGTCATGGGAGATTCGAAGATTCGTGGAATCGGTCGATTGCCGGTCGACCTCGAAATCACCCGATGCCGTACGATATCTTTGCTCGCGCGAGAAAGAGTTTTCGTCGTGGAACGCTTCCTTCGAATCGAAACGAGCGGAGGAGTTTTCTTGGCCCTCGTCTGGTCGCGATTAAACTCGAAGCTCGATAAAATCTGCCTTCTTTTTTTCCGCGCGAACAGAGGGAAAGGACAATTGGCAAACGTTCTCATCCGAATTGGCCGAAGAATTCGTTTCTTTTTTTCTTCTTCTTCTTTTTTTTTTTTTTTTTACACGAGCGTATCAAATAATTCGAACGAACTTTCGTTCCGACAACTCCTCCTCTCGAATCGTGATTACGTTCCTCCCCCGTGACGCGATACGAATCTCAAACTTGATGGAACGAAATGGCGCGTAAATTAGCAACCGACGATATCTACCGCGATAAACGAGAAAGATTTACGAAGACTGGTCGCTTCTCTTCGCCACCGATCTTATCTCCTTCCTCGTCGAGTCGCCGTACCGATTGTCGAAGAAGAGAGCAACAGCCTCGTTTCCCGCGGATTCTCGTTCCACCGCGAGTTTCGAGTCTTTCCCAACCTCCTCGTCCTTGCTCGTCCCCCCTCGCGCCTCGTTGTACACCCGTTGCAACTGCTGCGCCTCGGGCCGACCTTGCACCTCCACCACCCGCCCTTGGTCGGGCTGCTCGATAGCCGCGAGGATGTCCTGGAGAAGGCCGTTGGACAACACCTGATCGTGCCTTATACTCCCGTCCGAGTTCTCGGCCCCGAATCCCCCGTCCGCCGCTTGTATCTGCAACGTGTACGTCCCCTTCGAGCCCTGCACCTCGAAACCGTCCCCTCCGTTCACCGCGAGACCCTTGGCCGCGAGGGAGAGAGCCTCGCTCCCCTCCTGGGTGTTGAGAAACTGGTCCACCGATTCCTCCGCTCTGGTCCCGCCTGTGACGCTGGCCAGAGACGACGACGACGACGACGACGAGGAGGGGGAGGAAGAAGAGGAAGAGGAGGAGGATGGATCGTGGGGCGCGGAGAGGACCGAGTCGGCGAGCTCGACGACCGAGTGGCTGCTGGACAACGCGTTGTCAGCGGCGTTGTTGTAGGTCGCGATCGGGGCCCCGTAACTGTCCTTGAGATCGACGCTGCTCGGTTGCTGGTAATCGCGCAGGGCGAGGCGATGGCCGGTGGGCGATGATCGGGGAGGAGGGAGATGATCGAGCAGGGGGAGGGCGAAGGCCTGGTCGAGCGGCGTCGCCCCGCTCTCGACCTGGAAACCGCAATCGTGGCCACCACCTGTCGACAACGACGGTAAATTGACTAGCGGGGTGCCGTACGTGGTCGTGACGGCCACGTTGCCCACGGCATCGTACAAATTGTTCCCGAACCCGGTCGAGGTGGAGACGAAGGAGGTGGCGGGGCCGAAGTTGGGCGCCCCGTACGTCAACACCGGGGACGGGGTGTTGAAGCCGCCGAACGAGAGCGGGGTCCCGTATCGGGCGTTCGGGGCTGCGGCTATCGGCGGCGGGTCGAGGGCGGTATTTTTGAAAGCGAGGGGGGCGTGAAGGGAGGGCAGCTGTTGCCCGTCGACGCCGAACGAGGACGAGGACGACGGGAGGAGGAGGGGAGATTTGACCGAATCGACCGAATGCCTGGATGGCTGGGGAAAGTATCGGTTCAGCAATCCGATCGGCGGCTCGAACTCTCTGAACTTGACGGGTTCCCGGTTCCTGGGCGGGATCAGGGAGGCTGGGGGTGAGAGGGGGTGCCTGAGGGGTCGGTGGTGGTGCTTGTGGAGGGGGGGAGGGGAGGCGTGGAGGGCGAAGGAGGAGAAGGAGGAGGGGTAGGGTCCGTTGGGCGAGTAGGAGGAGGGTGGAGGTGAACCGTAGGAGTCGAAGACGGGGGGCGGTGGCAACGGTATTCCGGACTCGATGGAGTTGGGCTTGAACGGGGCTAGGTGGGGGAGCGGTGGCGGAGGGCCGTAGTTAATGGACGTAGGTGGCGCGTTGACCACCGACAGCTGGACCGACAAATCGTTGTTGTGGAACGCGCGAGGAGCGTCTGCCTCCGTTCCAGGAAGTTTCAGAAGGGGGCCGGCGAGGGGGTCGGAGGGGAGGACGATGGGCGAGGGAACGGTGGGCAACAATTCGAATCCGACGATGGAGAGCGGCGGCGGGTGGTGGTCCGCGTTCGTGGCCGCCTCGTACCGCAAATTCACCTGACCTTGTTGCGCGGCGTTGTTCCGACGATCCTCGTGGGGCGGCCTCTCGTTGTGGAACGGCTCGTACTCGGGCAACGGCGGCGGTGGCAAACCTTTGCTGCTGCTCGACCCGGACTTCACCGAGCTCTTCAAGTCTTGAGCCTCCGGGCTGTGGATCGGCACGCCGTAGGAGTCGCTCGGCACGCTCTGCGTGCCCTCCGCGATCCCGTTGCCCGTTCCCGACTGTTGAACGCGCGACGATCCCTCCAACTCGTTGTTGTTGTCGTGCTCGTCGATCGTCGAGGCGCCCCCCTGTTGCCTCGACGACGATCCCGCGATCGGTTGCCACCCGTCGTACTTGATGTCGGGGGGTGTCGGCGGTGCCGGGACGCCGGGCGGGGGGACGACCGGTGGCGGGGGCGGTTGTCCGTGGCTCGGTTGGGAAACGAACTGGACGGCCACCTTTTGGGGGAGCACCTCGTACGTGGTGTCGAACGACAGGGGGATGACGGGGGGGGGCCCGTAGTGTTGCGTGTTGAGTTTGAAGGGCGGGCCGTAGTGGGGTTTCGGCGGCCTGAGCGAGGAGGGGAAGGAGGAATAGGGAGGGCCGTAGTGTTGCTTGGGTGGGCCGTGGTGGTGGAGTTTGAGCGAGGCGTAGGCGAGCTTGGCGGGGAAAGGGGAGAGGGGAGGGGCGAAAGTTTGTTTCAACGGCTTGACGTTTCGCGGGGGTGGGCCGTAGGAGGGCAAGGGCCCGTTCCACACAGGCGGTGGAACGTCGGGCGGAGGTGGAGGGTACACGGGCGTTGGCCCGTGATCGCCGACCAACTCCGGCGGCCCGTACACCGGCGCTGGCCCTTTCGAGCTCGAGCCGAGCGGAGGCCCGTACGAATCGTCCGGTGGTGGGCCGTACGAGTTGCTTATCCTCTCGTCGGCCTTGATCTCGTTCCGTTTCTCTTCCTCCCGGTTGTTGGCCACCGTCTGGGACTGCGCTTTGTTCACCACCGCGCGAGCTTGGTGATGCCCGATCAACGACACCACGCAGAGCAGGGAAATTGCCGTCTGGAAATGAAAATCAACGAGAAACCTTTATCGAATTTCCAAGATTCGTTGAGTTTTTTTCTTTTTCTTTTTTTCTTTAAATCAAATTATGAATCAGTCGAGCACGGTTGACGATCGACCCAACCGATAGAGCGTAACGTAATCGATGAGAATGAGAAAATATATATATATATATCTTTGCAATTTTATTAAAAAAAAAAAAATCTTTCTTTAAAAGCGAATATAAAGTTGGAGGAATTTCTTCCTCCAGAGTTTTGAGAAATTGGTTCCAATGTGTGACCGGTGTAACGCCTTCTTCTGTTCTAATTAATTGGTTGGAAACATAAGTGTTGCTTGCCTGGTATCGCGGTACACGTTTTACTCGTGCCAACACACATTGTCTAGGGTTCGGAATTGAAGGCCGTGTGAGAGACTTTAAGCTAGTTTACAACCTCGGTTGGCGCAACGCGAGCCACTCATCCCGACGTATGTATGTACGTACGTATGTACGCGAGTATTATGCATTCACTCCCTCCAAGTATTAAACTGCGCGCGCCCGTGATAACCTCGTTAATTACAAAGATGGCGCGATGCTAAAAGAAATTACATTTTCTCTTTAATCCCCGATTGTTCCCAACTAAAATCACCGTGTTATTAAGCGTCGTTCCATTAACACATAAATCCCCTCTTACAGAAGGAAAAAAAAAAAAAAAAGAAAAAATGCAATTCTTTGATCCATTTTAAACGCGTTAAACGAACTTCGTTTCATCGAAGGGTAACGAAGAGTCGACGTTGCTGCGAAAATATTTTTAGCGACGTTAATATTCGAAAGTAGATTAATCGCGTACCACGAGTACTACGTTGTACAAGCGTTGCAAGCGTTGTTGCGAGCGTTGCGAGTTTCGACGAGCGGATGAATGAAAAATTGCAGAAGATATCCTTTTCCATCGAACGTCGAGGAAATTGGCCAAATTTTTTATTACACCGAACAAAAAAATAACTGGAAGCGATTTTACCTTCTTCCCCTTTTTTTTTTTTTTTCCTTTTTCTACGATACGAACAGCCATTCTCCACCCAACAACCAGTTTGTTTTCCATAAAAGATATCAGATACGGGGAGGGGGAAAAGAAGCGGTGCGCAAGTTTGAAGCAGTAAATGTCATCGAGAAACCATTCTTGGAAAAGTCTTAAGTGGCACGATGACCGAGATGCAAGGTTAACATAATATGCCGCACTTTCTCCCAAGTGCATCGAGGAGGAGCGCAAAGAAGAGTATACGAGTATATATCTTATATTTACTCTCGTGTATTTCTAATCGATCTTCTTCCAGATCTTAGAATCGTGCATCGTCGTTGATTCGTGTTTGCAATCGTTCGCGATCGTTCGTTTCTTTTCACATTTTTCGTTCCACGTGATCGTTTTAAGAGTTTCAAGATAAAATCCATAATTTTATAAAAACAACAATTTTATAAAAAAAAAATTTAAATGTCACGCGAATTTCAGTATTTTTTTTTCTTTCTTTTTTTCTTTTTTTTTTTTTACAAATTTATCCATCTACCCCGCACAACAAGTCGCGCGAAAATACCGTAACGTATAGATGCAATCTATGTAAATACGTATCCATCCTCGTTCGCTTTATCTTCGTAAATGTAAAATATCTTTCTTCCGTGTCGCACAATTTTATGAATGTTTAATCGAAATACTTCCTTTTCGCGACAGACAGAAACTTGTCAAAAAATTGTGCGCGGATTTATTATTTTCCCGATTAGATCCTCCGCGCGCGTGCTATATCTTTCTCCTCTTTCTTTTTTACGCGCGAATGAAAAAATCACATTTATTTGCTCCTATCCTGCGACCAACGTTGACGCGGACGAATTGGAATCGTGGCAACTTTCCTATTCTTCGTGAGAACCAGTTCCTCGTCTCGCATTCATCGAAGAGACAAAAAACTCCATCAATTCCGAATGAAACGAATTCGTGCCTTGGGAAGAATTTCGTCGAATCGAAATCCGGGCCAAGCCCCCAATTATAAGAATCGTGATTTTCTCGTGGCGTAAGAACTAAATCTCGATTGAAAAAATTCATCCCACTCGTGGTGTTTAGGTTTGGCCCGATCTTCAGTTCACGAGTTCCACTCGTGTTATTCGTGTTTGGGCCGAAATCCGGGCCGAAAGCGGTAGAACGCTTTGCAACGTAGATTGCAAGAATCGTGGTTTTTCTCGTGGCGTAAGAACTAAATCTCGATTGAAAATATTCATTTCTACGAGTCCCACTCGTGCCATTCGTGTTTGGGCCGAAATTGTCATCGTGATAATACGGGAAGAGGTTAATCGATCCCATTCGATGAACGCGAGATTAGCGTGTCGCGCGACAGGTACGCGTGAGACAAGTAGGCCTTGTCGTCAAACGCAAATTTAGCGCGCAAAAGTGAGGAAAAAGAAGGTCGGGTAAACGTTCGCTCGCCTAACTTTCCTGCGTCAAACGCATTTCACCGCGCTCGTAAGTTTGCGCCAAGCCTTCGAGATAATTAATTGCGAAAGAGGAGAGGGGAGAATTTATCCACGGGAGGAAATAATACTAGAAACGGCGCGAGATAATCGGTTCGAACGATGAGAAGTATGCGAAAGACGAGGGGAAAAAGAAAGAAAGGGAACGAGATCGAAGGAAAATTAGGATATAGACGAGGATTTGTCGACGCGAGGAGATGATTCGTTACGTGGCGCGTGGCGAAATAAAGTTCAATTAAATTTCATCTTCGGATTGAAATTTTTCGCGAGAGGGGGGAGTTTTTCAAGTTAGATTAAACAACTTGAAAGTACGCAATCACACCCGAGGTTGAGGAAAAAAAAAAAAAGAAAAAAAAAAAAAAGAAAAAAAAAAGCTTCTGTAAACAGTTTTACCAAGTTTGATCGAAATCTAATTGGTAGATTATTCGGAAAGTTGTATCAGATTTATTAAGAAAAAGAATCTAGAATGGTTTCCGCAAACAATTTCGCAAAGTTTGATCGAAATGTAATTGCTAGGTTACTCGGCAAGTCCCGTTAGATTTATTAAAAAAAAAAAAGAGAGAATCTAGAATCGTTTGCGCGAACGGTCTAAATTTGTTGGACCCTAATTGGACAAATTTGATGAACGAAAGACTCGTAATAAATCTGAACGTGCTCGCCATTTTAAAGAAATAGAAAGAAAAAAATGCAATTAATACGCGCTAATTATTATCTTAACAGTAAAAAAATTACTCGAATATAACTGCAACAGTTTCGAATAATTATTATTATTATTATTATTATTATTATCGCTTTGCTCGAAATTATTGTTGCTCGAAATTCATTTTCTAATATTTCTCTCACTATATCCAAATATATCATCATCCACAATATCTTCTTCCCTATCACGTAAATAATAGTTAGTTCTGAACGCGGCCTCTTTCCGCGTATCACTTTCACGCAGATAGGCAGACTTAACGAAGCGCGCAATAGTTTACACGCAGGTAGGCTGCAGTCGAGAATCGGACGATCGACGCACGTAGGCAGACTAGGTCGAACACCCTCGTTCGTATGTGCATATACAGTCATGCATTCGAACCGCGTGGATGAACGTAACGTAACAATGGAACACGTCGCTTGTTATCGAACGATGTACGATTCACTGAAAATTTCGATCTTTATTCCATCCTTCCTTCCTTCCATCTTTCGATGTACGCGATCATCCTCGTATCATCCATCCTTACGCATATTTCCTCGCGAAATGCACTCGCGATTTTAAAAGGGAATCGAAAAATCGCTCGCGTAAAGGAAAAAGGAAAATGTAGATCATCGATTAAAGGATTGAATTGTGAAGGAATATGGGAAGATATGAAACACGGTTGCGTAAAAGTTAACGTTTAACGTTTGCGTTTCGAGCTGTTGCTTCGAGGAACACGTGGTAATTCTTTTTTTTTTTTTTGTTTTTTGCGGTTGATTGCAAAAGCAGTGAGTTGACGTGGCATGTGCTAACTAAAACGTATGTGTAATGTTTACCTAACAGTTTGACCAATAATGAATTTCAGCGCGGTTCCATGTATAAAAATTTGTTTTCTCGCTTCTGAAGTGACGAAATTTTTATCGCCAAGATAAAAGGAGCGTAAATATCGAAGGTTAAAGGAGATAGTAATCGGCCGTGCCGATCGAAAGACTGGAAGAATCTATAAACTTGTTCGACTTGTTAATTTTTAACGCAGCGCATTTGTTCCGTCAGACCTGTTAAAGTCTTGAAGAGTCACCGGTTTCCGCTCGGTTGATTTACACGGTTCTTTGGGAAACACGTGCATCTTTGTTAATCGTTAAGCAACAAGATATCGAACAATAGCCGAAGATGAAAGATTATTGAAATTCGCGAATACGTTTTTCTTTTTTTAACGATATATTTCTCGCGTATCAACCGTCATCGTTCAGATTCGAAAGTGCTTCGATCGCTTTTTACGCTTGTAAAATTTCTCTAATTATATTTTAATACCTCGCCATCATTCCTACGCCAACAATTATCCGCCGATTACGAACGTCAAACTGCAATCTATACTTGCTTTCTATACTTTCATACCTTAATTGAAGAGCAAAAAGCTATAATCACTTTCATCACGTTTTAGTTAGCCTCATAATGTTGATGCAACAGCGCGCCAAGGAACTGTAACATTGTGTATGGTTAATTCAATCGTTAATAGTATTTTCTTTTCCCCCCTTTTTTTTTTTTTACTTTCAAGTTAAGAAAACGATTTCGTTAATCCACGTTTCTAGAGTTTCACTTTTTGTTTGATATTTTTTTCGACCGTCTCAGTCCAAATAATAACCGATATTTTTCCTTTATGTGAGTTGATAAAAAGTTGACGCCCTTAAAAAACCGATATTCACGAGTTTTTGAAGATTCTTGTCGAAAGAAGAAACCAATTAAGAATATTAAAAGACGGCAAGAAACCTGCAATTATTCAATCTTTGGCTCAAAAATCGTCGCTGTGCAATTATATAACAGTAATAATGAATACGCTCCTGCCATCTAGGCTACGTTTTACAATTTACGCCCCCATTTTTCACGCGGAATTTTAATTCAAACTTTAGCACCGTTGCTATTCTTGAACTACATTTTCTCTCTCTCTCTC